CTATTCACCGTCATCTGATCATGTCTCATGCATTGCATTATCCAATAAAAATAAAACGTGTGTGTGTATGTGACCATATGTCACAGAAAAACATCAATACTAGATTTGCAATTGAAACAACTCAAACTTTTTGACTGGGAACAAAATCAAGAAAATATAGTTCACAGGGTACCTCTATTGTCTTTTTTTTTTTTTTCGGTACTGTGATTAGACAACTTGTCATTTTTGCAAACTTTCAAGAATGAAAAACAAAAAAAAGCAAGGAAATTTCGGGGCGAAAACTGGTGTTATTAATATGATATATTCCCATTGTCTCTCAACTGTAACACATTTGCTGTACATTCCTCTTTTTTAGGGCGTGTTATCTGTAAAATACAAAATGTGTAGTGATCTCATTCTGTAACTTTTTGAAGGAAAGTTTTTTTTCTTTTTTAAAAATTATTTATGTTGGGTATGCGCTGAGAATACAGTATGCTCTGAAGACCTCAGTGACTACTTTTTATTTTTTTTAACAAAAATCCTTTGCATTTTATTTTGGGAGGTTTAATTTAAATTGTGGTTGAAGCAATAGAAAAATTGAAATATGGATTGTGCATGACTGTGTCTTGAGTGTAAAAAAAAAATATTGCAGTTTGAAATCTGGACCTGCAGTATTGTGAATAAAAGTTAGAAATACCATGGTTTGGGGTTGTTAATTTGTGGAACAACTTAGGGACATAATTTATCAAATACATGTCTCTAAACAAAGGAGAAAAATTTACAAAACTATTTTTGTAAGTTTTTATATATTTAAAACCAGAAAAGTGCATACATTTAACATATCAAATTTGGTGTTTGCTTGTCACTAAACAGAGGGCCCTTAATCAGCTTATGAGCCACTATAGCAGGGGTGGGCAATTAATTTTTTCAGGAGGCCACATAGGTAACTGGGACAGTTGTGGAGGGCCGAATAACACACTATACAGAACAACGTGCCGACTGTGTGCTACAGTGTAGCAGGTGAATTGCGTTGTGTTTCATTTGAAAGCCACCACAAACACACCTCCTGCCACAATGTGATTGACTGCGCCATAATACATGGTATCATAACACTGTGCATTGCGGTGTGGTTAAAAAAAGTAGTACTGTACATTTAATGCACCTGCTGCACTGTAATGCACGGTAGGTGCGTTGCACTGTACCATGCGTTAGTCGCTGCTGAGTGGGAAACTACACATGCCCAACCTCAGCCAATGTTCCCAACCTAAGTCCACAGGCAGGACGGAGGACCTCTGACGTAATTGGTTGCTAGGACACCATCGGTCCTAGCAACCAAGGAATAAAGAGTCCTTGCAGTGGAGGCACCGGCCTTAGAGGCAGCTATAGCAGAGCACAATTTGGCAAGCCAGACAACCAGAGACCAAGGGCTGGTTATGGCCCTCGGGCTGTAAAAATACCCGTGTCTGGACTATAGGGTAAACAAAGCACTGCGTGCTCTTTCTTTTGCTACAGGCACAGTGAAAACTGTAGGCATACAGATTCTGCATAGGTAGAAGGCAGAGTCATGAAATTAAGGGAAAACCTTTTCCATGCCAGTTTGGTTCCTGACAAATGGAAGGGAAGATCACTTCACTGAAAGCATTTTTACCTATTATTTTGTGTTAAAACACTTGAGGGTCTATTCACAAAAGGGTGAAGAGTTTGGAGAAGGCAGGAGAAGGGAGCAATCTAGGATAACATAGATGAACTGGAAAGTGAGCTGAATTGGGGAATTTTTCCAAATCGTCTATTTTGTCCCTAGATTGTTCACTTCTCCTGCCTTCTTCAAACTCTTTACCCTTTATTGAATAGACCTGTACGTTTTGGCAACCTCTGTAAAATGTCATGCTTATGGCAGCTGTATAAAGAAACTGGATAACAGACAGACGGGGCCTGGGCACATACTGAAAGATCATTGCAAATGGTATCAAAGTAATGGGAGTATTTCTTAAGCCTCTTGGAGACCATTATTTCTAACAGTTATTCACAAAAGGGTGAAGAGTTTGGAGAAGGCAGGAGACGTGAACAATCTAGGTCAACATAGCTGAACTGGAAAAATTCTCCAATTCATCTCACTTTCCAGTTCAGCTATGTTGTCCTAGATTGTTTACGTCTCCTGCCTTCTCCAAACTCTGTACCCTTTTGTGAATAACCCTGTAAGTTTTATAGATATACAAATACATCATTACAACATACACGAGACAGTATTATATAATATGTTTACATTTGGTTAAGCACTGGACATATTCTGACCTATACAATACCAGTTACAATGTTTGCAAAACTGTCAAATCAAGTTACCCTAAGCAGCCAATCAGCCATTGATTTCTGACTGATTGCTATTGGATACCATACTTTGCACTGCCTGAAGGTGGCCATACACTAGTAGATTTTCTAAAGAACTTTTGTATGAAAGATCTTACGTTCAACTTTCTATAAGTTAATGGCTTCAAATCGATCATCAATTTCAACCAGTGGCGAAAAAAAGTTTAAGGAGCAGAATGGAAAAATGTTCTTGAACAAGCGAAATTCTATTGGAGAGTGTGGTTTTTGTTTGGGAAACTCCATTAATTCCAAAATCGAATGTTAAAATATAACAAAATTTTATTCGACATTTGTCAAGTGTCTGATGGCATTATCGGGTGGTAAAGAAAGATATTTCATTCCAAAATCCACTAGTGTATGGCCGCCTTAACTGAGAAAATTTGGTTTATGGGGTACAGAAGAGCGAAACACAGCCTTAAGGTACGGAGTCTGAAGAAAAGCCAATTAGCTGGAAGTGTTTTTTAAAAGGGAAATACCACCGTTTCAAAAAAAATAATAAATTGCAAACTTCTTCATAAAAGAGAAAATTTGCATTAATCATTTTTTTTGGGAATGTGCAATGTGCAGGTGCAATGCTCTGGCTCCCGCAGACTTTTTCTTCTTTCCTTCCGGACATTCAGTAACATGGACGGTAGGAAGTGTCAATGGACTACAAGTGTGGTGATGTCAATGCACCTCTATTCCAACTACAGGTCCATCTGCTGTCTCCATATATCCTGTCAAAGGATATGTGAATGGATGATGCAGCCGTGTAGGCGGAGTCATGCACAGCCTCGCCAAATTAAAAAATGTACACAAGCCTGGAGGGAGAACCTGCAGTTCAGGTAGGTAGGGAGAGGGGAGGGCGCTGGGGGGTTTGAGAACTGATCATGTTTCATGTTACACCATAAATATGGGTGTAACATGAAACATGGTCAGAATGGAAAAGTTAGCCCTTAAGCAGTTCTCCATTGCTCAATGAGGTCTATACAGAGAATCAAAAACAAACAGATATGTTAGGAATATGACAAATTGTATAATCCAGCTAAACATAGGCCCGATTAGATAACCCTCTTCTTACACTTTGACAGGATTATTATTAATATTTAACTCTTGCTTTTGGATGATTTTTGTAAGCTAAGAACATATGCAGTACTAATCTGCAATACATACATACATATTTTCCTGTTGATCTGCCAGAAATGCACTAGGTTCTTAAGTGGGCTGACAACACACAGGATTTTCGTGGACTGAGTGGTGTCAGCCCTGGCCAATTACTTTTGCTAAATTACTCAACCACTCTCCCTTTCCTTCACAGCATAAAGGTGAATTATTCTGTAGTCCAAGATAAGAACTAGGAGGGCTTTATGAGATAGCAGAGGAAGGGGAAGGGTGCAGAAGATTCAGGACCATTCTCAATTTCTGAGAAGATCAACAGGTTGGTTTGCACTTCTCAAACAGATATATTAGTTATATTAAACAGGCCAAAGGGTTGCAACTAAGAGACGTTTATTGTTAGGGTTTTCATACACTGTTACATGAGAGGCACACCCAGGTAATATAGTGGGATATTTGCTCACCATATTCACCAAAAGATATAAGATGGTATGTGACTCTTCAATCAAATCTTACAGGAAATGTCTATATTTTCACCTTTGCGCATTTCTCTAGCTCTATGGATTACTTTTATGTATAGTTTTACTGATGGTAACCTCTGATTGTGTACTTTTTTCTTTTTGTTAGATGTTCATTTGAAATTGCCCAAGTTTGTCAAATGTTTACTTTCAAACAGTATTTACTTTCACAAAGTGTAGTAATACTGTGTCCATTCCCTCTGCAGTAGTTTTACTTGCTTCTCTTGCCCTAACACAAAGGGATTGTTTTGCTAAATGAATGTAATGAAAACTCAGTTTGCAAAGAATACCCCATCACATGCAAGGAAAATAAAAATAAACAGTATTTTAGCTTTCAAATGATTGGATGATGAAAGTCAGCAGAGCTTCACATCATTCAATAAACTTTGGGACGATTCCCGGGCACACCCTAATCACCCCAAGCGCAATACCAAAACTGCAACAGCAAGGGTCGTGTTTATAGTCACCAGCTGGTGGAGAGATCACAAAGATCTCTGTGACCAGCTCAGCGATACAGAGTACAGCAGCACTTGCCACTTACAATCCTCACATGACAGCTGCAGTCCTCAGTGCCTGGGAAGCTGTGAGGGAGCATGGCTGCGGCTTTCTATCCAATCAGGAAGCTGGGCGGGTGGTCACATGGCTATGTGTCAGGCTCCCCTGCTGGAAGAGCTAATGGACAGTTGAAGAGATAGTAATCCATGATGCCTCAGGTCTGTGTATGTATGTATTGAATAAATATATACATACGCATGTGTGTTTTGTACTTTCATATGCACACCTTAATGTAACAGGCTGCGCACGCCTATGATACCTTGACAACTGTAAAAATGTAAAATGAAAACATAAAAAAAAGACCCCCAAGTGTTCCCTATAGATGTCTTTTTTTTTTTTTTAACCAATAAGGGAGTGGAAGATACAACCTGGTTACAAGCCCTGACAAAATACATAGTTATAGTTTCTCATAAGTACAGTGATCATATACTGTATATACTCATAACAGTATATGGTTTACAAAAATCTATGCCAATCTGCTAATCCTCTTATGACGTGTAGAAATACAATCTTAGTACGCATTTTTTGGCAGCCAACATTGTTCTGTAGAATGATTACAAAAGAAAATACTGTTGGGTATGCTATATGAATGCTTCTGGTGTGCAGCATAGATGCAGCTCTCCGGGGCCTATACGTGCGAACAGAGGCGTGACATTGGCTGTATAGAGATGCTAGACTGTCTCTTGCTCCCAGCACTGTCTCTGTCTTGAGGATGATCTCATATTCACAGTTCAAGCAGGTCATCCGAAGAGACAACCTTGACATTTACCCGTCCTGGCATCTCCTCTGCTTCCCGACCATCCTTGTTATGCAGCTGGAGAGCCTGTTCTTCTTGAGGGTCATTAGGTGATGCAGCCAGGAGCACTTGGCCCAGGAACTGGTCACACATGAGTTTGCTCCCCCAGACCTGAGAGTCAGAGAGTAGAAAGCCAGCTTTTTGTTATCTCACTGCAGCCAACACTGTCTCAATGCATTATACTGAGTCATTGCCCCTGGTGTTTAGTCTAAGCAGAATCGGTAAACAATTCTAGGAAAGCACAAACAATGCCACAAAATGTGTTCCGTAAATAAAATGATTATTGTACAAGTCTTGTACAAGACGACATTTCAATTGAATAACAAGCTGTTTACTGCTGAATATAAATTTTATATGCTAGGAACTACAGCTCCAATTTTTCATTGCTATATGGGGAAATATACTGATACATCTCTGTTAAAAATGCTGATTACCGGCAAATAGAATAAAGTGGGAAAGTACTTGCTATATGCAATAAAAGGAGGCTAAGCCAGCGACTATTCTTACACCCTAAAGCTGGCCATACTGGTAGATTTTTGTACAAAAGGTCATATGAAAAATCTCAGCAGAACATTTGATAATGCCATTAGAGACTTGACGTAACTCAAAACTTTGAGTTTTAACATTTGATGTGGGAAATAGAGTTTCTTGAAAGAAAACCACATTTACTGAATTTAATTTGTTTGAGAAAAAATGTCTTCCTTCTCCGTTTATTTTCGTTGTTACAGCTGACAGCAATCATTGATTTGCCTCCATTAGCTATTAGAAAATTGAACAAATATTCCCGAAAAAAAAAAATTCTGAATGAAATTTTACTGGTGTATAGCCTGCTTATCACTCATAACCCAAAAAATTATCTACAAGACTTAAAGATGTTATTTTTATAGCAATAATAAAGTAACTTGCACACAGAAAAGTTGATACATAGATTTTATGGCCTATTCACACCATTGGTCTGCAGTACCACATGTGTTGCTGCAATGTTACATGGTGACACATGTTACGTGTGTTACTGCATTGCATTGTCCTTCATTGTGAATGGCACCACAGCACGGTACAACACACGGGGGAATTTATCAAGACTGTAGCAGACAAAATCTGGAGCAGCTGGACATGGCAACCAATCAGCTTCTCTCTTTCATTTTCAAATCTTAGCTGAAGAGAGAAGCTGATTAGTTGCCAGGAGCTGATTTTGTCAGCTCCAGTTTTGATAAATTCCCCTCACTGTGTCCTGCGTGTTGTGGGAGTATGTAGACAGCCCTATTTTTGTATGCATTTTGGTATATTTCAGCCTATTTATTTGGAATGGCCTGCTAAACACAATGCGGGTCAACACATGCGTGGCAGTGAACAGTGTTGTGGTTTGAATGGGCCCTTAATCATCCAACTATCAAACCTTTTATAAAACATCCTGATTTTATTGATCACATGATTTCAGAAACCCCAAATTAGCTTTAGGAAAGGCCATTATTTATGTGTGCTTACCACATCATAGACTATGCTGTATAGAGGCACCTCCCGCACCTCTACAATCTGGCTATGGTTGGCTATGAATGAACCTAAAGTATCAGCAGTGCCCCATTCTTTTTAGTTACACTTTTTAGTATGCGAGATTAAAAACATTGTCACGTTCTTTGCATTACTGAACAATCATGTACCTGAACAGTAATTGGCTTGTTGATATTCCTCCGGTAGAAGATTGCTTTCACGTCAAAAACAGCACTGGTGGCATTTCGATGGACTTCAGAGGTGGCCCTATTGTGCTCACATTTTATAATAACATACAATTCAGCTCCTGAAAATAAGTAGATTTATCGCATATTTCTTTTTATGTATATAGTACTTCCAATAATGTGAAGAAACAATGCAGATATTGTAGATCAATGGGATGTAAAATATAAAGGCATACATGCACCTTAACAGCAGAGAGCTAAAAAAAAAAAAAACATTGTAAGACAAAATGAACAAAGCAAAACAGAGAAGGCAAAGTTTCAAAGCATTACGTGATCAATTAGAAAGAATTACAAGTGCACTCTGCTTTGTTGTCAGGGTCATTTTAATAAAAAGGCAATGAGACCATTAACCACTGTCCCACTCAGGACAAAGTGACAGGTTCTCTTGCATCACCTGCTTATATTCTGTCAGAGTATAATGCTAGCTCCATGTTGGATGGTGTTAGGCACCATCCAACTCCGTGTCACTAATTACACAGGGTCAGCTTCGTCCTCCTCCTGGTCACGGGTCTTGCAAAGTTCTACTGATTGCCCACTTAGGACTTAAGGTGGCCATACACCTTATAACCATTGTGCAACTTTTTTTGCCCAGCCAGCTCACCCTCATTCAATTTTCTTACAACTAGTCCATCATGCACAGACCAATGTAGTTCGCATTTAACATTCGTCACCACCAGCACCTGGACGATTTTCATCAATCAAAAGGACAGATTTTCGTTTGAGCATGTGCAGTTTGCATCTTGAGATTTTTGTTGTACAACAACGCCACTAGCCTGTCAATTTTCGTCCAACTAGACAAAGACAGCTTGAAAGACAAAAATCTGCCAGTTCTAAAATAATTGAGGTTGTGCACTTTCCATCAACTGGCAGATTTTTCGGAAGAAAATTCGATCGTAGACAAAAATCTCCAGATAATTGTAAGGTGTAAGGGCACCTTAAGAATTGTATCCTGGCTAGAAAGCAAGAGATGCCAGCATACTCAATATCAAACTCTTTGTTCCAAAACAAAGTACACACTCCTGCTGCCAGACCTCCATCCAAATTTCCACAACATTTTAAAGTACCTTTTGAGTACTTTCAGAGTTTGAAGTCGGTTTCAACCCATTTTTATACATTTGGATCAAGTGGAGAGGAGTGAAGAGCTCTATCAAGCTTTCATTACAGTTTGCGCAATGTTGATGAGATTTGTGTTTACTTTCTACCCTGGGGACGCATATCGCTGAGGAAGGATAGAAGGAGTAAATCTCCCCTAAAGAACAGCATTGGAAACCTGACAGACCTGGAGATATTTTCCCTTGCTTCATATGCTTGTGACATGAATGTAAGTGTGAGGATACTTTCCCAATGGAGACGCTGTGAGAACATAAAGCTAGCCATACACTGATCTATTTTTCTCATTCAACCCGCGGGCTGAGCGAGAAAAATAGAGCAGATACCTCCATCAAAACTTAGGAGTGTGTATATCGAGGAATCCCGCTGTTTGCATTGTATCCTGACAGCAGGCCGGATAAACAGGATACGTTCCCATTATCTGATATTTGTCTGTCCCCAGATTATGTGTTTGTTTCTTGGGGTGTCATTGGATGGGGACTAATCTGAAATGGTTCATATGCAATATGGTCAATATGTTTATATTTGCATGATATTACCTTCTGTTTCACCCTGTGGTTGTACTCCTTCCACACTCCGTACTGACACCTGAGTGACTCTTTTAGGGTATCCCCATAGCAGGTTCCAGCATCTCATACTTGGTTTATCAAGCAGAAGCTCCCTGCAGGACACATTAGACAACAGAATAACTGGTCCATCCGAGTCCGAGTAAGTAATTCTAAGGTTATGGTCATTATGTCAATTTAATGAAAAGTTAATTAAATTGTAATTAAAGAACTCCAGGCAAAGCATTTCTTAATCCTTGCAGTGGGGGTACCCACTGCACTGCAAGGGTTAAATGCTTGTTTCGGTCTAGGTGCAAAAATAAGAAGGGTATACTCACCCGAACCTCGTAGCTGGCTGGCTGTTAGAGTGCTACCTCCAGCCCGTCTCATCCTCCGCTCCAGCGATGGAATGTCCCTCAGGCGTACTCATGTCCTTTACACAGTGTATTGGATGTGAAGACTCGAGGAGCCTTAGACTGCTGGAGAGGAGGGGGAGCAAGGCTAGAAAGACCAGTCTAAGAGCCAGTTGCCTCTTAGGTTGGGGTGAGTAAACTGTGGTTATTTTTATGCCTAGACCAAAACGAGCACTTAAACCTTGCAGTGTGAGGGTAGCTCCATTGCAAGGGTTAAAGTGACACCAAACTCAGCAGTTAAGGTACTTGAATGCATTTTTAGGATTTAACTATTAACAAAAATGTATCTTATTTGTGTATCACTCAGCTGTAGATCCGCAAATCATCTCTGAATTGGTGCTGACACTGTCCTTCCTTCTGGAGGGTGGCTAATTTTGTTTTCCATGGTCCCTGTGGGTGCTGTAAAGTAAGTAACTCTATATGTGTTGTGCTAATTTTAGTGTGTTGTAAAGTAAACAGCGCTCTAGGCTCATTCTCGTGATGGACTTCAATCTTAGGTTTAGTTTACTAATTTGTATTGAGTATGTAGTCCATCTCAGAAGCACACTTGGAGCGGTGACTACTTTACAACAAACAGAGACAATGGGGAACAAAAGTAGCCACCCTCCAGAAGGAAGGACAGGCACAGGACCAATTTTGAGACGATTTGAGGATGTACAGCCGAGTGATACCCAAATAAGTTACATTTTTGTTTATATTTAAGGTACTTGAATACATTTTTAAGATTTAGTTTGGTGTCACTTTAAGTTACAGTATTATCAAATAGTAATATACAGTATATAGCAACATCCTACTGCTATATAACATTTTAGTGTACATAAATACCTTAAATATGTGCATTTTTAAGATTTAACTCCAGAGTATAATATCACTTTAAAGTCCAACCCTGGGGAATTACAAAAAAAAAAAAAACACCTTTGCAGTGGGGCCCCCTCAATACAAGGGTTAATGTTCATTAACTTTAGGTTATGAGGTATAAGATTTAAAGGAGAACTATGGGGTCAGTGTTTTCCCCCATAGTTCTCCTTAGGGTAACGGGAGGACACAAACTAGCGACCTCCCGTTACCCTAAGCTCAGTATACCGCGAGCTACAGCTCGAGGTATACTGAGACGCCGCAGCCAGAGCGGATCCCGACGTAGATGACGGGATCCACCCAGCTCCAGCTGTACCTGCCCCCTCCCACGTACGTTCCGCCAGTCAGCGGATCAGAGCGGGGAATCCAGCCCTCTCCCTGTCACGGCAGAGAGCCGTGACAGGATCGAGAGGCGAGCGAACCTGGTATGTGTTCGCTCACCTCCCGATCTACTGAGCCGACCTGTGACAGTCTCATTGTCACAGGTCGGCTAGAACTATGAGGTGAGTGGAAATCACTCATCTCATAGTTCTCCTTTAATACTCACATTACTACACATCCTCTGGCTTGTGGATGGGTCCTTGCCATCCTTTTGTACAATACTTGTCTGCCATATACTCATTCTCTGGACTACAGGGGATGCAATCCTCTAAGCAGCTGTGCCCCATGCTGTGTAGACAGTTCATAAAGCCAAAATGACCCCTGAAGAATGTCCTAGTCTCCTAGAAAGGTATCCCGTGCCACTCCAGTGTTATGTGAAGGCATTATTCTCTTTCTCCCAGTTCATGATGCTAACCATTTGTAAGTTACTTTAAGTTAATTGCAAAAACATAGCAGTCAGGAAGCCTGTGCCAAGGGAGCTGTGCATGTGTCCACGTGCACATCCCACAGTGTGCGTGTGGATGTGCGCGCACACATACGAGGTAATGTGGCATCAAATGGGCTATTTAAACTGAGTCCTCCCTAGCCTCTGATGCTAAGTGTTAATTAGCTTCTGTTTGACCACCTTCCTGAACCTTGATTCCTGATTCTGACTTCCTGTTGCTTACTCGGCTTGCTCTACGACTCCACTGATCTTCTGGTGGCCCTGACTTTGGCTCGTCTTTGGACTGCGTTGCCTACACGGCTCTGCCCCCGGCTCTTCCTCCGACCACGATTCCCGTCTGCTGTTCTGGTACCTCGTTTGCCCACAGATTGCTGACCTGGCCTGTCTGACGTTGGTTCTTCTTGCCCTGCTTCCGTGCTGTGCGCTTCAGACCAGCCATTCTGTGATGCTTCTCCGAGTTCAACGTTCTTCATCTCCAAATTCGCCTACCGGCACTTGTGCCCATTTGTACCCCAATTCACCTGTTCCACTATCCAGGGGTCTTGGGATTAGAGTTGCAAGAAAGGCTGCCTTCATCACCTCAAGCTCGGTATGTGACAATAGCATAAAGTTGCACACCGGGTGGGGAAGCGAAAAATACTTTTACATGCATACTGAAATTCTGATTTAATAAAAAAAAAAAAAGAGGTAACACAGGAACAGTACATTGCATGGGAAGTGTGTACCTGAAATTAGTGGGTACATCTGTAAAGAGCCTCAAAATAAAGTTGCAGCTTATGCCCGGGTAAAAAGTTGTAGGAATAATTACGTATTTTCCTTTTTTTAACACCTTCCTTAAGAAGACAGATCTCAGGTTCATGTAGGGTAAAGATGCAACCCTCTCATGTCCTTGAAGCTTGTGGATCCTGCACTCTCTATTCTGTTCCACCTTAAAGAGCAAAACCATTATGACACAGTACACAGTGACTGAAAACTATCATATACTTTATATATATTGTAAGGACATTGAAAGGGTAACTGAACTCAAAAATAACAATCTATAGGCAATACATTATGTAAAGCACTGCTCAAATTTATTTATTGTAGCTTGCTCTGTATGGGGTTGAAATACAATTTAAAAAAGGCGCATAAATGTTTATGTTAGTGGGAAGACATGAACAACACCTTGTAATAAAAAAAAATATATTTTTGTTTTTGGGTAGAGTAGGAAAGTATTAGATCTCCTGTTATGTTTTTATTGCTGCAAAACAACAATAGCAGCCACTTAGATCAATTTAAAACTAGCAAAAGGGGGAAAGATGTGTCTTTTCAGGACACAGTACAAAGCAATACAAAAATTCCCAGTACACTCTGCAGCTTGTCAGGACAAGCTGAACTCAAGCCACACTGCCTTGTCAAGGCACCTCAAGATTTCCCAACTAAGGGACATATGTACAAGAGTTGTCACAGGAAGAGGTGGTGAGAGAAATCTTCCAATGGGGACATCTGTTCCAAAAACAACTAAGAGGGGATTTCTTCTCACTTTGCAGAGGCTTCCTTTTTCTTCTTGTGTCTCTGGGGACAGGAAGTGAACGGAAATACCCCAAACGGGGCTCACATGACAGCAGTCTAACCATTCTCTACTCTATCCAAAACAAAAAAAGGTTTTGCCTTTACATACACTTTATGAATATACAATTTTTCACCAAATAAGGTTTACCTTGAGTATTTCACAACCTATAATGAAGCGGTCTCCCTTGCCAGACTTCTTATGAATTCTCTGATCTTCCTGTTGTAGAGAAACAAGCACTTCATCTTCCTCTTTTTCTACTTCAAATATGTACTGATAAAAAAACAAAACAAACATGTTATTGCATGTCTCTTTTGGGCTAAGAACATGTCATTTAGCTGTCAAATACCAAAACTTCAGTAAGAAAATGCCTGCAATTTAGCACTGTAGAAACCTCTATTAATATGGCCGAACTACCAAAGTGCCCATCATTGATGGTCAAGGGGAGGAAAAATGTCTGGCATTAGTGGGAGGAAAAGAAAGTCCGCATTAATGATCAGTGGAAGGAACACTGGTAGTTAATGCAAAGAAAAAATGCCCTGAGTTGGCGGTCAGTGGGATAAGTAAAATACTTAGGGTTGGTAATCATTGAGAAAAAAAATGTTCCAATGGGAGGAAAGGGACTCTGGGGGGAAAAGGGGGCACTGATGCTCTGTGGAGGGAGTGTAAGGTGGGCACTGATTCTTGGTGAGGTTTCAGAGGGAGACACTGGTGTCAGTGGAGGTCATTGATGTCCAGTGGGGGTCATTGGTGTTAGTAGATTTACCTATCCCTGTTTTATGTCAAGCACTACTGCCTCCCTCTGCGGGAACTACAGTGCTCATGTTAGGCAGGATATCACTCTGCCTCACAGAACAGCAAAACCAGGTGCAGGAATGAGTGTTCCAGCATCCAGCTGGCAGCAGGCCACATCCTGGATGTGTAGGATGTTGTTCAAGTATGGTGACAGTCCTTCAGAATGCAGAACTGTTGAGAGGTATGCTACATACAGTATTTTGTGTTAAAAAGTGTCCCTCTTTCTAATCTCAGAACGTTTGGAGGTATGTGTTACATGTATTTGCAAATGTATGCAACAAAAAAAACAACAACTCTGTTTTTAACGTTAGTAGCTGAAACATTTTACTTTGGGGGTTTTTTTCCGAACTCTTTTGTAGCTGGCTGAAAATTGTCTAAATGGGCACCATAAAATATCAAAATAGTATTTCCTGTGTGATTCCCTAAAAACACTGAGAGCACTGTAAAAGCCAAACATTTAAAAGAACAGAGGAGATAATTTTAACATCATATATTTATGTCCACTTTGCATCATGCTAGAGAATTGTTGAAAAAAAATTCCTTTTCCTAAAGCTGTGCTACATCCTGTTTTATAAATATAAGCCAATAGCATAAACCTCACCCCTGAAAACTATCAACGTCAAACATTTTGAAGGTTATTGTAGTTGTGATCTCACCTGTGGATTCTGAAAGAATGTTGTTTTGTTATTGAAGCATCCTCCAGAGCGGTTCAGCAAAGCATTTGTATTATCTGTCCATTTTCCATGTGCTTCTCCCTTTTCCCATGTCTTGTGTTGGCTGAATAATGAGGTGTTTATCACATGGCACACGTCAGCATGGGAGAAATTCTTACACCAATCCTCAAAAGTCATCCTACATCAGAAGAAGAGTAACAAAGACTAGTGGTTTAAAGGTGTCTAAACAACTGCTATAACCAAGGTTTCTGTTGGACTATGATGGCAAAGTCATTGTATAAATGAGCACCATATAGAGACACTTATTATATGTGCAGAGGCTTATATTTTTGTGAATGTATGGCCCATCTATCATATAAATTGTAGGAATCTACAGCACATTAAGGATTAATGCTGAAAATAATTAAAGAAAAAAAATGTAAAAAAAAGTTACAAGGTATAGAAAACACTATGGGGTCTATTCACAAAAGGGTGAAGAGTTTGGAGAAGGCAGGAGAGAAGTGACCAATCTAGGACAGCGGTGGCGAACCTATGGCACGTGTGCCAGAGTGGGCACGTGGGGCCCCCTCTGCTATGCCATTTTGTCCTAGATTGTTCACTTCTCCTGCCTTCTCTAAACTCTTCACACTTTTGTGAATAGACCCCATATATTACCTTAAAAGGGTTGTTTAAACTCAAACTCCAGGCAAACAGTCACATTCACAGACAAAATTCTGTACATGTACATATCAAACCTGCCAAAGGATTTGCATTTCTGTCCATCCAGTCCTGTGATTTACACAGCCCTGCCAGACAACACAGCCAGCCTGGAGACTTGATTTTTCTATCCTGTAGTAAAATATTTTGTTACTTTGTGTAGTTTATCCCTTGTTAGCATATGATCCATGCAGCAAACCTGACTAGCTCATTGTGCTTCCTCTCCCATTCTGTGCTCTGCTGTATAGAGTATTGCAAATGGTTAATGCCAAGTCAAATTCAAGTAGATTTGTTGCTATCAAAAGTGCACTGATTTTGATAAACACAAACATACATGAACTGGGGAAGTTTTTCCATGTAGGGCCACCAGTCCAATACAATTTTTTTAGGGCAAGTGTCCCCCCCCCCCATTCCAATCTTCCCCTTAGTACAGCTTTAAACATTGAGAGAACTAACTTTGATAGCAGCTATTGCCATTCTTCCTTTAACAGCACGTGTGTGATTGGCAAATGTACTTTAGTACAGTTCCTATTGGCATCAAAACTACCCATGAACCTCTTTGGTTACAACAGCATGGGTGGAGTGCCCTACCTTAATTGTATTCCTTAATTGAATCTCAAGGTGCCCATACACTGCACGATTCTCGTACGAGAATCGCGGGAAATCCCGCAATCGTACGAGAATCGTGCAGTGTATGGAAGGCGTGCGACCATTTCTAATGTACGGTCGCACGACTTTTGTATGTCGAGCATGTTGGAAAACCAGCCAAGAATTGTACGATTTTCAGCTAGTTTTTAACATGATCGAGAGATCACTGCCGAACGGGCCGGTGTGCGTGCACGCGCACACTGCCCGTTCAGCATTGCAGTCATCGGAAGCCCGCCCCTCAGGGGGGCGGGCTTGCGATGATCGCAAGTACGATCTGCCTGTCCAAGATGGGCAGATCGTACATTTTTAAAAGTACTTTACAACTCTCGCAAGACTTTTGTCTTGCGAGGGTTGTAGAGTGTATGGGCACCTTCAGAGAGTGGTGTCATTCACCTGGCTGTGCTGCATTTCAGGGCTGTGTAAAACTCTCCCGGCATATCCTTTGCCATGTGAAACCGCTCCCATATACTGTATGTATTTTAACAGTGCATTTAGAGTTCATATTAAAAAAAGTTCTCTCCTGCTCCTTCAATTTTTTTTCATCACTGTGTTCAAAAACATTCGTCGATTAGACCCCATTTACTATTTGAGATTCAAACGAACACTTATGTTAGGCTTGGGTTAAACTATACCTTTAACATCCAGGTAGTTTCCAAACAGGTTTCCATTTGGAAAGCAGTTCCATGCAGGAAACCTTACATGCAATTTTACCTATGTTAAAAATATTATCAATTTCATAATATAACCTTGATGTCTCCTTTAAAGCAAATGAATGGCCACCATACACTAAATAAAACAAATCTGATAAAGCATAGTTGCTGTTTCCAGCTGCTTGGATGCTGGGTGAGATTTTATACAGAGCACCCAGAGTCCCTAAATCCACTGGTGCCCTGGTATTTAAATAATGACCAGCTTTTCTGGCTGAGAGCCTGGGCCATCCCCCAGCCGGATTCCATTTCTCAGTACCGGCCTATCTTTATGATGGGTGGCATCACTAAACAATAGTGAGGTGCTGAAGACAGGAGGGTTAAGTCCAGCTCTGGACCAGGAAAAGGGCTTTAATATTTGCATTCCAGAGTGCCCTGGAATTCTGGGGACCCATGGCTCTCTATAGGAAATTTGACCAGGCTTGCAGGCCCATAAAAGGTGACCATTCTACTATGCAAATAATTGTTTATAATTACAAAGATGCTTCAATGATAAGTTATCTCTGTTCCTTGCATTGCTCTACAAATATTTATGACTGACTAATCACCCTTTCAAAAACCCAAATGTTGGTCATAAACATAGATGTTGAATGTCACACACCCAGTTGAAATCCAAGGTTGACTTATTGTTTTCAGTATATCGGTGACATGCATGAATCTCTCACCAGAACTCGCCATCATTTCGCACAGTAAGCCCGAGCTTCCCTTTCTCAGACCTGCTAACTTTATTCCATTCTTCAGATCTTGAGAAACAAAACATTATTATCATGATTATTATTATTACTACTATTATTCTTTGTTCATAAAAAAGCTTTACATATCCCACAATGCACTGAGTACCAAAGTAATATGTTCAGTATCTTGTATTCCCATTTGCAAGTACAGTATAAAATCACTAATGTCAGCAACATTGCCATGTTTTTTAATCCAAACATGCAAGTTGTAGTCATAGGGTTAAAGGCCTAAGGAAACTAGCTCAGACTCTCTTTACCCTAGTTTTTTTTAAAGGGGATTCTGCAGTATTCTCAGCTAGCAGATATAGGGGTCTATTTACTAAGCTGCCAGAGGCAGCCAAGTGACTAAGCAACCCAAAGCGAAGTGAGCTGAACGCTGTTCGGCTATTCACTTCAGGCTTGTACGGCTGATTCCAGCCGTATACCGGCTGAAATCAGCCATACATTGGGTGGCTTCGGGTCGGCCGAACATGCTCAGCATGTTCGGCCGACCCAAAGTGCAGAAGGAGTTCGATTAAGCCGATCCAACCTCAGGATCGGCTAAGCCGAACCTCCGGCAGGCTACTCGCTGCTGTTCGGTCTATTCTCATAGATGCCGAACAGCAGTGAGTGAATAGCCGAATGCCGCCAAGCTGCTTTTGGCTTGGCTATTTTGCTCGGTACCTCAGAGGTACCGTGCAGAATAGAAAAACAGTTAAAAAAGTTTAAAAAAAATAGAAAACGATTGGGCGGAGCTAGCAGTGACAGCTAGCTCTGCCCAACTGTTTTCTATTGGCAGGGCGGTTCTGCTGCCGTCAGAATAAAAAAAAACCATAGGAATGCCTAGGTAGATTCCTATTGGCTATTTCACTTTGCAATAGCCAATAGCAAACTAGCTATTGCACCTGCCCTCTGCTGCTGTCAATCACTAGAGGGGACCTGATGGAGAATTTCAGGTCCCCTCTGCTGTAGCTATGTAGCTATGCATCCCTATGGTGTTTTTTTTTCTTTTTATTCTGACCGCGGGCAACGGCTCCGATGTCACATGGAAAAAAAAAAAGACAACAGAGCAGAGAAAGGTTTACTCTGCCCGATCGAGCAGAGTAAAACTTTCCCGGAGAAAGTGTTTCTCTCCCGGGGCGGCCGGGAGCTACTATTTAATAGTGGGAGACTCCTGGAGCGTCCGGGAGAGTTGGGCTATCTGGAGATCAGCGTCCCTGGTTACCTGGTAACCAGGGACGCTGATCTGTCTGTGCAAGTGGCCGGAGCTAGCCGTGAGATGACGGCTGGCTCCGCCCAGCAGTCAGTAGCAGGCTCTCAGTCAGCCAAAGGCCGGCCGTTTGGCCAGCTTTGGCTTTCACCTCGGCTCAGTCGAGCCGAAGCATATGCCTTTGGCTGGACTGAGCCGCTTGGCCGACTTCAGGAGCTGAGTGGGGTCCTGGGGCCGAAGCTAGCCGAAGTATCAGCCAAAGCAACGGCTAGATCCTTCGGCAGCTTAGTGAATAGACCCCATAGTCTGTCTTCATTGTCTACATCTCTCTTACAAGTAGGATGCACTTAGAACAATTGGTTTCAGTATAAGTTCTCCAAGTCAACATATCCCTCTCATTTAGAACAGTATCTTTATTCTTGGCAGTTCCTGATCAATTAACTTCTAACCTAGTAACATAGACACCTTATCTCTGGCACTTATATACTTAGAAGCTCTGGATTTGTTATTGTTCATTGCTCGTTAGTGAAATTCAGACCTTGGGGCTCCTTTTAGTGCTAAAAACACTAAAATGAAGGTGGATCTGTCACTTTACTTCCACCGGATATTTCTCTAAGCCCCTTTTATTAGCTGAGATTTTCATGCAGACCAAATTTGCAAAGCCACCATTTTATGTCTTTAGTAAGAAACTGGTATGGAGCTGGCGCATATGATAACAGCACTGCTCATCAGGTCTCATTCAACCCAAATGGGCTCAATTCAAACTTCTTCATGAATAGCATGTATGACGAAGATGCTTGATCGTAACATCAATTTAGCCTGGGCTATTTGCCTTTGCTTTTGACTTTAGCCTGGACTTTCAGTCCTCATCACTTGGCTTGATCTGCCTTCCTCATTTCTTTGGCACAATCTTGCTGCTTTACTCATATTGGAAGGCATTTGATAAGATTGATTTGTATTGGAGGAGGTGTGTTTAATGGCCTATTGCTTACACGTTGAATTGGCTCATCATCTATTATTATACTTACATAGTGTACCGTAGACATAGTTTTTTGTAGTGCAAGTAGGAAAATGAAAACTTGCAAGCCTTTGTAGGTTCTAGTAAATTATTACTCAGTGTTTTATGCTATTAAATGTCATACTTACTCATCATTCCATGCACCTTTCCACTCTTTCTTTCCCCATGGATTCCTCATTCTAACCATAAACAGTTTGGTAGTCTTTCCAAAGCAAAGAGTCTTCTCACCCAATGTCACCTTTTTAATAGCTGTTAAAGAGTATGCATGTCCTTTAACAAGTCCTAGAGGTGTGACTTTCTCCCCGTCACTGTAGGAAGGAGCCTGAAGAATGGAGTAGTACAAATCTAAACCCACTGAACATGGCAAAAAAAATGTTTTATACATCAGCAGGATCAGCATTTGCTATTGGTTCAATGATGTTATCTAAGGCTCAGGGCCGGATTTACTCTCTCTGCTGCCCCAAGGCCAGGTTCCTCAATGTGCCCCCCCCCTATGTATGCAGGCACCCCCCATGGAGAATGGCAGACCTGCAGGCTGCATCCAATGTCACCAAGATCACTTGTACAAAACAAGCGGCAGCTTCCCCGCTGTACATTAAGCTCTGCTTGCCCAAAGCAGGGCTAAATGTAGAAGACAACTACCCTCCCGGGCTTCGAGGACAGGGATTCCACACCCCTGCTGCCCCTCTACTCCCTGCTGCCCCGAGGCCGGGCCCTGGTTGGCCTTGTGGGAAATCCGGCCCTGCTAAGGCTATGCCAGTAGGAACTAGGTTTATGGCAGTTACAGAAGCATCCAGGCTAAAGAAACACCCCTCAACCTTACATTCAAAAGAAGAATTGACATACAAAGCCTAGCAGCCCATATCTATGTACATAACTTATCTTTACACATCAATGAATTCATGTGGTGGGACCAAATTAAAGATTGTATATAGATTACAGTACACTTTATTATTTTACTAAAATGTGGCTGACTGAGGCTTAGCAGTCCATAGGATTTTATAAAAGCTATTTGGACAGATACCAGAACTGCCACATTGACAGTCCGGGCCTGTTAATATCATCACTGTGGCAACCAAAAGATTGGCAACCATGACTCTGTCAGATCACATCTTGAACATTTTCCAAAAAAGGTAAGACATTACAGTTATGCTTTTCTGTACTTCAAAGACTTGGCAAGTGTATCTTTTTGGACATGAAACTGTAGTTTTACTTCACCTTTTGAGCATCTGTTTGGTTTAATATAATTTCATATACCCATAATTTTACCCTAAAATTCACATTAAAATGGTGAAATTATCACACTAAAGGAGCAAAGCGCACCATGGTCATGTTATCGCAAAAGAAAACAAAATCTCATGCTCACAAGAAATCTATACCATGCATATGATAAATAACACACAAGTCCCTTGGGTCTCATTCAGGAATGCAGATTTCATCCAGGCTTTCAGCACATACTTCAGACTATTTCCTGCTGGAGTATAAAACATTGATCGCTTTTATGTAATCTTAAGTGATTGCAGCTGGTGTTAAGTAAACACACAATCTATCATATTTCATTGTCCCAGCACGCAGTCTGCTTATCGCAGTTAGTATTTCCCAATAATGGACCCACATTATTAACCCCATTATTTGTCTCCCATTATTTCCTTTATCTGTAGTCTCTCAGTTTTGGCTTTTGTGAATCCTTTTCAACCAAGATAATTTTAAGATGTCCCCCATGTGGTTATACATTTTGTTTGGCTATATGCTTTAAAAGGCACCTTTTTAAAAATGTAATAAATACACTAGCAACGAATCCATTCAATACATGTTTGCATTGAGGCCTGCAGAGCATTGTATTCACGATCATTGCATTGGTGCAATGCACAGACTCTTATATTTTTTAACCCTCTTTATGAAACTGTGATATGTCAATAGCATTTAAAATGTTACCCTCTTTGTTAACATTTTCTTTTTTTTTCCATACATAGTGATGTACTCTTACCTTGAGATGACAGCAGGTCAGCCCTCCCTGTCTGTGAACTTTCAGAAGCTCCTCAAACAACTTTGTCTGCACAGCCACGTTAACAATGTACTTTTCATCAGTTAAGTTAATACTTTCCACAACTGCTCCTGTGAAATCCACTATGGCATCTGCTGTGCTACCACCATCCAGTGACTCGTATGATCCTGATAACCTAAGATATGTAGTAGAGCACAAAACACGCATGAAATGGCACATTAAGGGCCTGTATCGATGAGCTTTTTAAATGGTCTTTGCATTCGCATACAAGCTTATGGGAATCCAAAACCCGCTCAAAGCAGGTCAGGAGGAGGTCAACTGCAGATCAAATGCACCTGTCAATGAATTCAGAATGATGTCAGAAAGATCTCAAACTGATGTCACACTCATGCCATCCACACAAATGCAAAGACCGTTAACACATGCCCTAAAAAGGCAAACAGCATAATAAAAAAAAACCTCCAGCAGCAAATTAGACATCAACTTTCACTCATATGACTACAGTGAACTGAAATCTGATCGGCTGCTCTGGCTTTCTGCAGGGTAGGTCTGTACATTATTATTTACACAGTTGAATAATGTAGTAGTTTATATTGGCTTACAATTGTAATGGATGTGGTTGAGTATGATTATGACAAAATGCCTATCTCAATAGATCAATTGTAATATATATGTTATTTTGCTATTGCTCGTTTACCTTACTCAAAATTGCTCCTTAAGCACCCCCTCCCACCTTGTAAGAAGTACAAGAAACCAAGATGGCGCCTCCTCTTCAGGACAACACCCAAGACGAAAGACATAAACATCCTGGAAGGAAGTTATGCATGAATGGATCTAACCAATTATAAGCTAGAATCCTTTTGCAGTGCTACGTTTAAACATACACGTTCAGCTGCCTATATAAGACTATGTTAAGCGGAACAATAAAGCAGAAGTATCTTACTCTGAACTTTTGTGTACACTCTGTATTGAATCAGGCCAGGCGGCAGATATAAGTAAGGGACCTTAATCCGGTCCAAATTCTTGATCAGGTCCAGAACACAATGATATGTGGTCATAGAGAACCACTTATTTTTTTTTTTTTGAAGGAGGTCAACTGCAGATCAAATGCACCTGTCAATGAATTCAGAATGATGTCAGAAAGATCTCAAACTGATGTCACACTCATGCCATCCACACAAATGCAAAGACCGTTAACACATGCCCTAAAAAGGCAAACAGCATAATAAAAAAAAACCTCCAGCAGCAAATTAGACATCAACTTTCACTCATATGACTACAGTGAACTGAAATCTGATCGGCTGCTCTGGCTTTCTGCAGGGTAGGTCTGTACATTATTATTTACACAGTTGAATAATGTAGTAGTTTATATTGGCTTACAATTGTAATGGATGTGGTTGAGTATGATTATGACAAAATGCCTATCTCAATAGATCAATTGTAATATATATGTTATTTTGCTATTGCTCGTTTACCTTACTCAAAATTGCTCCTTAAGCACCCCCTCCCACCTTGTAAGAAGTACAAGAAACCAAGATGGCGCCTCCTCTTCAGGACAACACCCAAGACGAAAGACATAAACATCCTGGAAGGAAGTTATGCATGAATGGATCTAACCAATTATAAGCTAGAATCCTTTTGCAGTGCTACGTTTAAACATACACGTTCAGCTGCCTATATAAGACTATGTTAAGCGGAACAATAAAGCAGAAGTATCTTACTCTGAACTTTTGTGTACACTCTGTATTGAATCAGGCCAGGCGGCAGATATAAGTAAGGGACCTTAATCCGGTCCAAATTCTTGATCAGGTCCAGAACACAATGATATGTGGTCATAGAGAACCACTTATTTTTTTTTTTTTGGGGGGGGGGATCTGTTAAGGAGGAAGGTGCACTGAAATCTGACCTTTATTGTAAAATGTAGTTGTGGAGTTATTGAACTATTGCCCCAATCAATGGGGTTACTTTCATGTGCAGGAGGAAACATTTTTCAAATCTTGCATGCTTAATATTACAAAAAATCCAAAGAGATAATAACGTGCATGACATTTCAGTAGAGTTTGGCATATGGTCTAGAAAACATGAATAATATTTTTGCCTTAGGACACAGACTAGACAATGCTCCTTATGATAAACCTTGCTATGGTATTAAATTATTAGCTCATCTGGACTTTTTCCATTTTCATAATTTGATAAATGAAAGAGATTCTTACTTGGCATACGCCTTCTCTAGCAGAGCACACCAGAATTCATTTTTCACATTGGAATGGCAATAGATCAAATTTCCATCTATGGTTGGCAAACGATCATCAATGATGACATCTACCCAATTCCCCAAACACCAGAAATGGAAATGGAAAATTCCTGCGTATTTGTGTGGTCTTTTTGGGTCCCACTCCTGCTTCTTCCAGTTTGGAATAACCTATAATATAAAACATATATTGTTCATAACACCGATGGGGCAGTTGAGAGAGGTGTTTGATAATAGCACATTTATAAAAACTGGACTACTATTTATGCAGATGGCTGTGTAAACTGGATGTACTGTAAATTGTTAAGGGAAGACGTCTGATACAGTGCATGTAGAATCTGGGATATGTTATGTTTGAACACATTACAAGTAATCTGTATTGCTAACTGCTTTAAAATAAATTAAAGTTAATCTGTACCTCTCCTGCTGCCTGTACTGCTGATTTCCACACTTTCAGCTTTCAAAACACTCCTAGGTGTGTTGGATGCCTGGCCCACTGCTCTAGTTCCACCCATCAGCCTGTACTTTACTACTGTGTCCCCTGGTGACGTGGAGGGTGGGTGGAGAAACCACAGAATGCAGAGGGGGACCAGGTATCCAATACTCCTGGAAGTATTAATGGTATAATGGTATAGCTAGTAGTATGGTAGTAACTTTCAACTGGGCTTGTTCTGTAATGTTAAATATATTTCAAAGCTTATCTAAGCCAGTTTTAAGTTCTAATGAGGGTCAGGAAAAATACTCCAGCATTTACATGCACACAGATAACACAGACACCTTAATCCAATGATCATGGAATGTGTGAAGGCACATGTTGATTGTCCAAGAACAAGATAGGAGGTTTGAAAGTCAGTTTTTATTCATCTCTTATAGTCCATTATTTATGTCCCAAATTTTTTATTCCCATTGAGATCCTCCCCAAATCTCACTTTTAACTATTTCCTTGCGTTATTAAAAACAATATATTAAAAACAATATATGGTAGACTGGTCCCCGAGACGAAATACCTGCATTTAATGCTCCCTTTCAGCAGCCCCCTCTCAAATCTGCAATAGAATCACCATACATAAATCAGGAGATCTATTTTAACACACACACACCACGAATTGTCCCCCCTTCTAAGATTATATACAATTAGACAATGAACCTTAGAGTGTCCTTTAAGACATTTCTAATGCCTCCCCCCGGAGGTGACTCGCTATCCATGTCTGTTATGCCCATGGCACGTTCCCCTACCGACAGAACATGGGCTATATATCCACCTCCAAGTTGCCCCCAATTGTTCAACCTGGCTAGTGTAGTACTAGCTCTTACCGAATATTACACATGCCGAGGCTCCACAACTTCGAGCGTGCGGCTCCCCCGCCCACTGTCACTAAGCTCCACCCAGCTGTCACATTTAAATCGGCGGTTTCCCGCCGCCACGATATGTTCCTTCTCGAGCTTGAAAAAGAGGTATCACTCCTCGAAACGCGTTGCTCACTGCCTTTCCACCCCGCCACTACCCTCTTCCCATCACAGACCCGACTGACAGCTGACAACTCTCAGCCCACGGCACCCGCACACTGCCCCAGCCTGCGCCGACAGTGACCGAGCAGCACGAGCCACAGCCGCTGGTTTCTCTTTCCCCCCCCCCTTTTCTCCCTCGCCCACAGCCTCCCCTCCCCGTGTGGATGCACATCCTCAGACTCAACCAGTTTCAGGTAGACACCACGCATGACCCGATCGCTAGCACCGGCCGTCCATCCTCTGGTCCCATGAATTAAAATGTAAGTGCTTATTCTTTTTCCTCAGCTATCCATTGGTTTTTCGCCCATTGCACCCATTGTCACACAATTTTCCCGTCACCTTCCCTGGGTCTTCCGACCCGGTCAGTTAGTCAACCCAGTGTTGCGCCCTTTTGGTTTTTTTGTTTCTAGTTTGCATATCCACAGGCACTCCTCCTGGGTCTCAGGGCTGCACACGTTTTAGGGTCACACATTGTTTACCCCCTCATTACCATTACAAGAGCGCTGTTTGTACGTTTTGTGTTTTTGAAAGTCAGTGAACCACCCTGTTCTAGTTACATAATCCCATTAATTGAATTCAGGAAGTCTGCATAGGTGTTAATCCTTCAATTTACATCGCTGAAGGTGTGAATTGTTGTCAAACTGCTAACTGACTTCCTGACCCTAAGGATGTATATATGAAAGTGGATCTTTTCTTTGCAGGTACCTTTGTCCAGAGAGCTTGATGAAGAGCCAGACCTGAGCAGGCAGCCACAAACCAGCAGTTCCCCAGCTGTCCTTGGTGTAAATCATGATGGCTAATTCCATCCACAAACAAATATGGGTCATTACAAAGCTCCTGTGAGTGTGAAATGACAATTAAATGTCTAACAGAAAAGATTTTTAAAAGCAGAACTCCAGGCAAACAGTTGGATACATGGTTAAAATACATAGGTTTATTAAAATGTATTCACAGTGAAAATGTATAGGTTTTGGTTCTTTTATAGCGAGACACTCTAACGGGGTGAAGGGGGAAAATATGTTACATGCATGCAGTACAGACACTGCCTACCAAACTTCCTGCCACTGCAAAATCAAAGATTTAAAATGCTTTGGCAGGTAAAGCACTTCACATACCTGCATTTCAGCTGTGTGTTTAGCTATTTGCATACATTTCCATTTTGAGTTTCTTTAATTACACTAACCTCACATTTTAAAGAATATGTGACTAATAAATTATGTCTTAGTATATTAAAAGGACGGCAGTAAATATTTCCAGCCTGCATGCAAGCAAGGTGAACTCGTTTGCCAAGGAGGGGGTAACCACCTATTGCCCCCAGTGAGATAGGACATCAGTTCCCCAACACTTCCTTGCCAAAATCCTCTCCTAAGTTCCATGTACTGGAACTTAAAGTGACACTGAACTCAGGACTTAAACCTTAAAAATGCATTCAGGTACCTTAACTAGTAACAAACATGTAACTTATTTGTGTATCACTCAGCTGTAGATCCTCAAAATTATCTCTGAATTCATGCTGATACCGTCCTTCCTTCTGGAGGGTGGCTACTTTTGTTCCCCATGTTCCCTATGTGTTGTAAAGTAGCCACCGCTCCAGGCTCACTCCTGTGACAGACTACAATCCCACATTTAGTTTACTAGTTTGTATTAAGATTGTAGTCCATCACGGGAGTGAGCTTGGAGTGGTGGATACTTTACAACACACACAGGGACCATGGGGAACAAAGGCAGCCAGCCTCAGGAAGGAAGGACTGTGCCAGCATGAATTTTTAAGATTTAACTCCTGTTAGTTTAGTACCAATTCTTTAAAATCTTCAGAGTTCAGAATGCTGGGGGAACTTCCCTTCTGCAAGTGCCTACATCTTCCCTCTGTGTTCCATGGAGTCACTCCCTGTGCGTGCTAGGACTACAGAATTACGTAAGAATGCAGCCTGCCCAACGTGTACAGGACAGCTTCTGCCTGAGATAGATCTGTCATTCACATCGAGGTTATTTGTTTTTGTTTTTATAATAAGCATACATAAAACTTGTTAAAAGTAAAAGACTTTGTAAACATTACATTGCTCCACAATCTTTACACATTAAACATAACGCTTGTTTTAAAAAAAAAGTCTGGAGCCATCATACGCATTACATTGACTAGCACAGGAGCACGCACAGGGAGCAACTCCTTGAAACAGAGGGAGGACGAAGGCACTTGCAAAAGGGAAGTTCCCCCCTGCATTCTGAACTCTGAATATTTGAAAGAAACAGCAGCCCAAAGGTCTAAAGCAAGCATGGATAACAATAAGAAACATATTGTAACATTGATATATTTAAAAATATGTGAGGGTTTAATATCACTTTAATTTAAAAGATTTGCGTTTTTTTTAAAGTCGCCCTCGAAGACACATTGCAAGGTACTTAAAATTGTTTTATTTTTTGCTTTGTTTAATGTCCCCCATAGCACTGCCCAGCTACCTAAAAATGGCCGGAATTTAACAGCAAGATTCATGTTTTGTAAATTTTAGACAGCAAACCGCCCATGAATTAAACCCAGGCAGATTTGCCCATTCCAACTGTATACCAATGGGCACACTTTTGATAGTAAATATGAAACAAATGCAATATAAACAAATTAGCAGTTCATAGTAGAACAAGAATATGGTATTTTTTACTCATGTATCTAAATTATTAACAGTATTTAAAGGCATATATTTGTTTTAAAAATATGTAAAACCAACCACTAAAATATCATGTAAGCTATAATTTCAAAAATAATTTTTATTGTTTGAATTATGCAGCGTTCATTAAAATAATACCTGGTGATCATGCCATGAAGTTCCTTGTCCAGACATTTCCCCTTATAGGGTGACAATGCTGTGTCTACCAATTGTTCTCCTGTGTTGTCACACAGGTTTCCGATAGGGACTACAGGTGGCCATTTCAACACACATGCAAGCATGCTGGAAGTGCAGTCCAACATTGGTAAGTTTTCACAGTTGGATTGGTCTTTGGCTTCTCTTTCTACAAACCCCAATACAATAAGTGTATTATTAATAATGTTGATACTGACCTTATACTCAAAGAATTTATTTGGAAGATGAGATTGTCAATTAAAATGCCGATACAAGCATATTTCAGACAACCTCAAACTTCTTATCAGTTGCAGGTAACCTGATCTGCAGCAGAGTTGGCCATCCATGGTGATGGGAGGACCTGGCAGGAGTTGACTACCAACAACATGTGGGAGAAAAACAAACTGTTGTGTGAAAGTGTGTGCATGCACTACTGCTGCTTTAAAACAATCTCTAAGTTAATACCTAACAAATGGCAAAAACATCAGTGGCCCAATATATGCTAAATATATGTAAATTAGCATTTTCTGCATATGCACAGGCACCTTTAGCAAAGAATACCTTGTCTTTATGGCAGAAAACTCAAATGCCAGTTCAAGTCCAGGTACTATTGTTTAAAAGGAGATCAGTACATAATGTACATTAAAAGTCTGTTTAATGGTAAAGTAAAGTAAGTGTAATATAAATGTAAAGTCTATTTAATGTTAATAAAATGTATGTGTAATGTATGTGTAATGTATGTACATTGTACATGCAATGTTTTGCATTTGTACTGTAAATTCTTTATTGTTGATGTCGGTGCTTCAAACATGCTTGCAAATACCCATGTGCCTCCTGGGCAGTATTGATAACACTAGAAATGTTGTCTGCATCTTTTATTTTTTAAAGGCCAATTTACACTTTTGAAAGCATTGCAGCTCATTTTAAAGGTATGTTGTAGGGCTTAGTCACAGCAGTTAAAAGTATGCATTTTCTTGCATTTGAACATGTGTTAACCCATTCATTTGGATTGGACTGTCAATGCACCCTAATGCACAAAAAAGCTCCTGCTTTATTTTTAGCATTGCTGCACAATGCAACATGTGTAAAGGTGCGATGAAACAGAGGAGCATATACTGTATCAGTGGGGTTGAGCAGACCTCTCTTTGTGTTCAGTACATTTACTTTGATTCCAATGATCTTAGAAAGCTGATTTTGCAATTCCTTCCGGTTACTGATGTGACAGAATGAGGGTTTGTTTCCTTAAGGTTTGCATCTTTGGAATGGAATGTCAGTATTTTAGGGGACAAGGTTGTAATGGAGCTTCATCTACATCAGGAAAATACAAGGTATGCAGGTAGTAATTAGAGAAAAATACCCCTCCGCACTAAATGTTCATTGCTTAGCTCACTCTGAATTTGGCAGTCTCTATATCCTGTGAAATGCAGAAGAAACTGCTTAGAGATTATTGATGCGTCTCTCAACTTTTGGAAATATCCAAAAAGAAAAGCAGTGTTTTTACATTGTATTGAAAGCTGGGATGTGTTACCTACTGCAAAATATTTGAAAAGACTTTGTGCAACTTGAGGGACTGAGAGATGCGATGCGGCCTCTGATTTCATAGAACTTGAGTCATTGATAGAATCATTGACGTCTATATCAGGCTGGCTAAAAGATGCGTAGGACTCATCCAAAGAGGCAAGTTCATTATTGTGTTCAATTCTACTATGTGAATTTGTCATATCTCTCTTGGTGACTGCAAAGGTTTTCAGACTTGGTCGTACATTAAGCAAACGCTTTCTAAAACCAACTCTATGGCAATGAGAGGCAATGAAAGTGCATGATGACACTAATATGAATTAGAAATTGCTTCAGCTCACTGCGGCCGCCAGAGCCCTTAAGTTCAGCCAAACAATTAAGGGTCTGGTTGGAAATTTTAGGGGGGACCCCACATTTTTTTCTGTTTTTTGGTGGTGGGGATCCCACTTAAAATCCCTACCAGACCTAAAGGGCTTGGTATGACTTTTTTGCGGGGGGGGGGGGGGACCTGGGGGTCCCTCCTAACATTCCTACAGGATCTAAAAGGTCTAGTATGGCTTGGGACAGGGACCACACGCTGTTTTTTTTAATTTCTTTTGTTTCGATTTTTTTTTATTCTGCTCGCCATCTCTGAGGTAGCAAGCAAAATAACCAAGATGAATGCTGCTCGGCAGCTTTCAGCTATTCATTCACTGCTTTTTGGCCCCTATGAGAATAAGGGCGAACAGCAGCGAGTGATCTGCCGTAAGATGTTGGATCGGCTGAGGTGAACGTGTTCTTCACTTTGGCTCAGACAAACTGTTTGGCTGAACCCAAGTGTACTAAAAGGGAGCTGAAGCCCAAATCAACAGTACTCAGCTGAAGTGAATAGCCGAAAGGCGTTCGGCTCCCTTCACTATGGTTCGGTTATTCACCTGGCTGCCTTTGGCAGCTTAGTGAATATACCCCTTACAATCTCTTTTGCAAACAGCAACAGATATTTGTCAGAGGCTGGACATCACAATCTCAGCTCCAAGACTGGAAGTGAGCCAAAGAAACAGATCTAACTTTAAAGCCCATCGTCCTAAAGAGTCCTTAAGAATTGGCAGTCTACATCCCTTTTTGAACTGTTTTATATCAGAGATTAACTTTTTTTCTTTCAAATATTTTTTTTAATTTAATTTATAGAAGGTTTTACAAATCCCAAAAGAGTATCCAACCCTTGCAGTTCAAAAGCACCACTGCAAGGGTAATAAAATAAATGACCAAGAGTTCTTCTTTAAAGTCAGCAATCTCTCTTCTATCCGAACCCTGGCTGTAATTATTTGTGCATGTCTACATTCTTATAGACAGCTTTTTGGGTTGTGAGGGGAAGATGAATCATTAAGTTACTGCTCTCTGCACAGTCTGAGGCCACTTAAATACATCATCTGCTGAATACACTACTATACACAAAATGCAGGTAATGTGTGGGCCAGACAGCAGGGCTGGCAACTGTGTAACACA